GCTTCATTTACAACTCAAACTGCTTCATTTACATCTCAAACTGCTTCGTCTACATCTCAAACTGCTTCGTTTACATCTCAAACTGCTTCGTCTACATCTCAAACTGCTTCTTTTACATCTCAAACTGCTTCGTTTACATCTCAAACTGCTTCATTTACATCTCAAACTGCTTCATTTACATCTCAAACTGCTTCGTTTACATCTCAAACTGCTTCATTTACAACTCAAACTGCTTCATTTACATCTCAAACTGCTTCATTTACATCTCAAACTGCTTCATTTACATCTCAAACTGCTTCATTTACAACTCAAACTGCTTCATTTGCAACAAGTTGTAGCTGAATGACTCTGACTGCATCCTTTCAAAAGCTGCAGCAAACATCTGTAATTTGTCAATTCAGTTTATCTCTAAAGCTCCAAGTCACAACAGAATCGTCTCAGGGACTGAACAGAAATACTCATGTATAAAATAATAATTGAACAGAAACATTCATGTATAAAATAATAATTGAACAGAAACATTCATCTATAAAATAATAATTGAACAGAAATACTCATGTATAAAATAATAATTGAACAGAAACATTCATGTATAAAATAATAATTGAACAGAAACATTCATCTATAAAATAATAATTGAATAGAAACATCATGTATAAAATAATAATCTAACAATATTTATCTGAGGAGCAGCTTTGAGTTTAACTCCATCACTGAACTCTCATCTTGAACAAGCATGAAGGCGACAGTGGAAAGAAAAACTCCCTCATGAGGAAGAAACCTTTAGCAGAACCAGGATCAGGACTAGAGGACCATCTGCTTCGACCGGCTGGGTTTGGTAGGAATAGATACACAATGGCAGGTCAAGAATCACATGTTAAGATAGAAATAGTATCAAATGAGAACTATTCAATTTTAACAATTGATTTAAGAACATGAGGTCAGTTTGTCCTCTAGTAGTCTAAGTCTATAGCAACATAACAAGCCGACCCTAACTATAGGATTTATCAGAAAGGATAAGCCCAGATACCTAATGGAAGCATATACAAGGTAAAGAGTACTGGTCCAAGCACTGAACCTTGAGGAACTCCATGACTAACTTTAGTGTATGATGAAGATTCATTATTTATATTTACAAACTGGAATATATCAGATAAATGTGATTTAAACCAATTTAGAGCCGTTTCTGTAATCCCAAGATCATATTCAAGCCTCTGTAGTAAAATATTGTGATGAACTGTATGAAATGCAGCACTGAGGTCTAACAGGACCAGTAGAGACACCTGTCCATTGTCAGAGACCATGAGAATATTCAAGGATTTTTATTGTCCTACCAGCTCAACATCTGCATGTTTATAGCAGCTTCAGTAAGAAGGTCCAGACTTCCCTCTCCCCAGCCACTTGGTCCAGCTCCTCCGGGGGAGTCCCGAGGTGTTCCCAGACCAGCCGAGAAACATAGTCCCTCCAGCGTGTCCTGGGTCTTCCTCTGGGTCTCCTCCCAGAATATATATATATATATATATATATATATATATATATAAATGTTTTCAAAGCTCACGCAGTAAGGACAGTGTGACCTGGAGGGGAATGATTGGGAGGCACGGCCTCTCTGACCTGAACCCGAGCGTGTTCTGTTGTTGGACTTGAGTGCTGCTCACAGTTTGTCCATCACAAACACCACGTTCAAACATCAGGGTGTCCATCTGTGCACGTGGCACCAGGACGCTCTGGGTCATAGATCGATGATCGACTCTGTAGTCGTGTCATCTGATTTTCTGCTGTTTGTTTTGGACCCTCGGGTGAAGAGAGGAGCTGTCAGCTGATCACCTGTAGTGACTTGGGTCAGATGGAGGAGAAGATGCTGGACAGACCCAGTAGACCCAGACGTGTAGTGAGGGTTTGCTGGGAACGCACTTCACCCCCTTGTTACTCACACATGAAGTGTTTAAAAGTAAACTATGAATATAAACTGGCTCAAGTGGTGATTTCAAGTGAAAATGAAAGAAATTAGAAAATGTTTCTCGTGTGTCCCTTCCACTAATTTCACTTTAGTTTGTGTCAGTAGGTCACATGACAGGACCGGAACGTTATTTTGTATCTCGGGTGTTGGTAATTTACTGACAGTCCCTAAAGGAAGCAGCAGGAGGGGCAGCCTGAGGAGGACCTCTGGTCCGGATCAGGGCAGCCTGAGGA